CTTTTATGCCAAAAATCATTAGGATATTAAGTAAAGATCATGTTCCATGAAGATATTTTGCAAATTGCCTACCGTAAATATATAAAAACTTCATTTTTGATTAGTAATGTGCATTGCTAAGGACTTCATTTGGACAACTTTAAAGGCGATTTTCTCAATATTTTGATTTTTTTTTCACCTTCAGATTCCATATTTTCAAATAGTTGTATATCGGCCAAATATTGTCCTATCCTGACAAACCATACATCAATGGAAAGCTTATTTATTCAGCTTTCGAACAATTTGTCACTTAAGACTTAGGTTTTGTGGTCCAGGGTCACATATATAATGTATAGCAGACCATCCGAGCTGTGTTTACCTCCTGCAGCTGCTCTAACTCCTGTTTGAGAGCCTCCTGCTCGGTCTCCAGCTCCGCGTACTGCTGCTTGAGCGTCTGGTTCTCCTCCAGCACCACCAGACCGCATTCCGCAGCCCGGATCTTCTCCCGGTTCGCTTCTGCGAGCTCTCGGGTCAGCCTCTCCACCTCGGCCCGGTAATGATCCACCGATTCCCCGCATCCTCCACCGGCTGCCATAGCCTCCGGTCTGGTGAAATCTCGTCCTCCGTTCCCGTCACTCTCGCGCTCTCAGAGAGGCTGAGGCTGGTGAGGAGATTCAGGTGGATGCTGCAGTCCGACCGTCCACCCGATGCGCCTCCTGTTTGCTGATGCTTAAATGATGTTTACACGAGTGGCATATGAACTAGACTCGACTTCTTCATTGTAAATAGTGCCGTGATAAACTGCACTAATGTTCCATTCATCAAAGACATATTTTTTTCGTTTCCAACTTAAAATGTTTTGAGGATAAGCGGCGCCATCTACCCGGAATGCAAAGTGGGCAGAAGTTGATTCTGTCTCTCAATATATGACGTCACTCCATACCCCCGCCCCTCATCAATTACACCGTCTTTTTTTTTTTTTTTTTTTTTTTTTTTTTTTTTTTTTTTTTAAATTATATAAACCCCAAACTTTTGAACGATGGTGCATTGTTAACCCAAAACTGAAAATTCTGTCATATTGTACACAACGTGAATAACAGAATTTTTTTTTTAGGTGAGCCATCACTTTAACAAATGTTTCTCCTAAAATTAATTAGCAGAAATAAAAGTTTGATTTGATTTGATTCAGTTCATTTCAAAACACTTGTTCTCAATTCGCAAGGTCACATAGAGTAACTACTGTATTATGTAATATACAGTATATATGTAAAGTATGTAAAGTTATGTAAAGTTCAACAGAAAATAGTAATGCTAATTATAATTGGTTACATCGTATGTGTTAATTATAATAATACATTCTAATATTGGACAGAAGTATTCACTATTTTTATTATTATTATTATGTTTCGTGTATACACACACATACACACACACAAAACATTACATGTGGTAATTTCAGAAATTTCAGAAATTCTCAGCTACATAGCCTAAATTTGCAACATATTATTATTATTATTATTATTATTATTATTATGTTAGATTAGTATTAGGGCTAACCTTGATTGAATGTTATTGTGGATGAAAACATGCATTATTTATATATTTTTGCGCCACCTGCTGGACCAATAAATAAATTACATTCTGAAATAGAAATTATGAGCAAAAAATGTGATTTGCAGGCAAGACATTTTTTAAATTATGCATTGTTTAAATATGTGGTTGGCAAGATGGTTTTTGAAAGTCCAATCTTTATAAATTATATTTAAAAATACAGTAATCAAGAAAGACTTTGCATGAACAGTCATGAAAATTCATTGTTTAACGGTGTGTGAAGGTTGTCTTAACCATTAAAATCTGAGCTATAATCATGAAGATTCTGAAACTCATAAAGTAACCCAACAACTTTAAGGCCACCAACACCACAGGTCCCAGTTCCAAAGGACTATAAACTATAAAATTGTAATTCACTGTGTTTCTACTGCCATTGAAACAATCACTGATCACTGAAAGTAAGATATTTGACAATAATTGCGACATAATTCCTTTAGTCTCTGCCGCACTTCAGCTGAATGTAGCATTGAACATGACACATTCCTGATCCAGAAAGCACTTGAATGAAGCATGTCTAAGTACATTATAAGCATAAAGACGTGAACAGGCTGAGAAAAAGATCTCACTGTACTTCTGAATGTCAGTTTTTCACCAGCCCGCATGTGATTTAGTTTTCTCAGACTGTGTGGCACACCTACTGGACTCAACTTTTCAAACATAATGATTTGATTGGCCAGGAAATCAAGCACATCATTATGTGGGTGCAGAGGTGAAAGATCACATGTGCATTATCTGGAAAACTTACTTTCACAATCATTAACTACAGGATGAGACTTTCAAAACAGTGAGATTCATTTCATCCGAGGAATGTCCGTTAAGGTAAGTACTAATAAAAGAAATTTACTTATGTTCACCAGAATGATTGGAGCTCTAAAAGTAGCAGCCCACTGGGCATACAACGGGTTGATCTGATGAAAGAATGATTGGATGATTAGGTTTGTCCTGTCACTATCTCAAATCTCCAAAATGAGAGGCATGTGATACATAGTATTTGGGAAGTCTTGCACTAGCCTGGTTTAGAGAGCCTCACTGAAATGCAAAACCATGCTCAAGTACATTACTCCCTGCAGTACATTCGGCATAGTACATACTAAATCATTTATACTAGAAAGAAATTGGCTGTTTGTTGCACATTTACCTCTAAATGTTCCTCATACTAGGTTTATTTTTAAAAGTGAGTTTTTATAGGCACATAACAAAGAATTGACTATTGACTTTTTTCAATTATAAATTATATTATATTTACCTGTTTTTTTTTTTTTATTCCAACAAATTTAAAAATCTAGGAATACTGTTGTCCATTTTAGTCTTGATTTTCATATATATATATATAGTGCTGTCAAATGATTAATCGCGATTAATCACATACCAAATAAAAGTTTTTGTTTAGATATGTGTGTGTACTGTGTATATTTATTATGTATATAAATACACAAACATACATGTATATATTTAAAAAAAATTACATGTATATATATATTTATATTCATATATAATTTATATTATATATAAATATAAATATTTTATATATAAACAAAACATATTTTTCTTAAATATATACACACAAGTGTGTGTATTTATATATACATAATAAATATACACAGTACACACACATATCTAAACAAAAACTTTTATTTGGTATGTGATTAATCGCGATTAATCACATACCAAATAAAAGTTTTTGTTTAGATATGTGTGTGTACTGTGTATATTTATTATGTATATAAATACACAAACATACATGTATATATTTAAAAATATTTACATGTATATATATATTTATATTCATATATAATTTATATTATATATAAATATAAATATT